AATATGTTGAGTGAAAGAAAGTTTCCAATTAAAACAAATAAAATATTTATTAATGTATTTTCTCAGTTAAAAATTGCTGATAAACTCTAAATCATGATTTTTAAATACATTATACATCCCTATAATTAATCATTGCCCTCTAATGTGGACCATAATACAACATTATTAAATATTAATAAATGATTAAAAATGTTGTGGCGCCGCATATATAAAAATAAAATAGAGATTGCGATTTTATTACTTTTTTTTCACTAGACGTCATCTAAAAATGCGTTGCTGTCCGCTTTTCACTTGTCCTCTTCTGATCTCCGTTTGCGTTTGCTCACGGCGCTTCCTCAGCCGCCGATTTTTAAATTACCGAAAATACCCACAAACCCGAGTAAACAATCTCCTACAACGCACCCCAATCTCTCTTAACCTACACAACCCAATCAACAAACGCCACATCACCAATTAAATAAGATATTCCAATTATACCCTCGCACCCACACGTGGCGCCTCGTGGTTTGGTGACAGGATCTGTAGTTGTGTTTATAAACCCCATCATCTCTTCCTTGTTCATCTCCACACTTCACTCACCAGATATTATTTGCTTCTCTCTCTCTCTAAACTCGGTCACTGACAGAACCACTGAGTTAACTTGTTGGGAGGTTTTGGTAGGAGGCGACGGCAATGGAGGAGCTAGATCGTTCACGCGCTTTCGCTAAAGACGTCAAGCGTATCGTCGTTAAGGTATATCGTCTCTCTCTCTCTCGTCAGCATTCTCAGATTTTGATTTGATTATTACAGTGTTTCTCGGTCTGATCTGAGAAGTGTTCGTCGTAGTGGACATGTGTTTTAGTTCTGTCTTAATCTTATTTTAAAGTTTCTTTTTTTAACTGCTGAGGAAAATGAAAAATAAAAATAAAAATGAATACTTTTATGATTTATTAACTCACAAATGTTTCGTGAATCTGAGTAAATCAAACCTATGGTAATTAGAGTTGTGAATTTTAATCTGCATGTCGTTAGATACGTATTTTAAATAATTATTTTTTTTTTCTGGTAATTAATCTTTTATTTTGTGTGTAAATATATAAAGGTTGGAACCGCTGTTGTAACTGGGAAAGGTGGAAGATTGGCTCTTGGTCGCTTAGGAGCTCTCTGTGAACAGGTATAACTTTTTACTTCTTTTTTTTTTTTGGTTTTATTTAACAAATTGTGAAAAGGTTTCATGGAAGACATGTGAAAATATATATGTAATTTGTAAAAAAAAATAATATTAATGTCAGCTTGCGGAATTAAACTCGGATGGATTTGAGGTGATATTGGTGTCATCTGGTGCGGTTGGCCTTGGCCGCCAAAGGCTTCGCTACAGACAGTTAGTCAATAGCAGGTTACTAAAAATGGCTTAGACCATTGCCTTATGGTTTGAGAAGATATCAGTGAGATATGTTTTTCTTTGTGTTTATGATTTAAAGTTCTGAAGTTTGTTTTTTTTTTGTATGGACTGTAGCTTTGCGGATCTCCAGAAGCCTCAGACTGAACTTGATGGGAAGGCTTGTGCTGGTGTTGGACAAAGCAGTCTCATGGCATATTATGAGACTATGTTTGACCAGGTGAAAAAAAAACTATGGTCTTGTTCTCTAGATTGCTATGTAGAGCTCCATGTATTGATGCTTTTTTCTTTCTTTGGCTAGCTGGATGTGACTGCGGCTCAGCTACTGGTGAATGACAGTAGTTTCAGAGACAAGGAGTTCAGGAAGCAGCTTAATGAAACTGTGAAGTCCATGCTTGATTTGAGGGTTATTCCTATTTTCAATGAGAATGATGCTATTAGCACCAGAAGAGCTCCTTACCAGGTTTGTTTACTTATCTTTTGTCACTCTTAAGATGTTCAATTATTATGTAGTCTAATGTTCAGATTCAATATATGCAGGATTCCTCTGGCATCTTTTGGGATAACGACAGCTTAGCTGCTCTGTTGGCGCTGGAACTGAAAGCTGATCTTTTGATTCTTCTGAGTGATGTTGAAGGTCTTTACACCGGCCCTCCAAGTGATCCTGACTCAAAGCTGATCCACACGTTCATCAAGGAAAAACATCAAGACGAGATTACATTTGGCGACAAGTCAAGACTAGGAAGAGGGGGTATGACTGCAAAAGTGAAAGCTGCTGTGAATGCAGCTTATGCTGGGATCCCTGTCATCATAACCAGGTGTGGACCATGATCATGCATCATTAGAATTTAATATGCTTGTTTCTGAGAAATCATCTGAACAAATTACTGTTTCTGTTTTTGCAGTGGGTATGCAGCTGAGAACATAGATAAAGTTCTCAGAGGACTGCGTGTTGGAACCTTATTCCATCAAGATGCTCGTTTATGGGCTCCTATTACTGATTCTACTGCTCGTGACATGGCAGTAGCTGCAAGAGAAAGTTCCAGGAAGCTTCAGGTATTGCTAGAGCGGCGCTCTTTCTTTTACATCATGTTTGAAATTGTTTCTCGCTTGTTACAGATCTGTTTGTGATTTGCTACAGGCCTTATCTTCAGAGGATAGGAAGCAAATTCTGTATAGTATCGCTGATGCTCTTGAAGCAAATGAGAAAACAATCAGAGCTGAGAATGAAATAGATGTGACTACAGCACAAGAAGCTGGACTTGAAGAGTCATTGGTGGCTCGTTTGGTTATGACACCTGCAAAGGTAAGTCACTATTCATGATTTTCACCTCTCTTTAAGAGCTATTTGTGTTTACTAATGCTTCCTTCTTGATAGATCTCGAGCCTTGCAGCTTCAGTTCGTAAGCTAGCCAATATGGAAGATCCAATTGGCCGTGTCCTAAAGAAAACTGAGGTGACTAACAGACTCCTCTTATCATATAAATTAGTTTTACAGATCCTCCTAGTTGTTTATGTTATTTGTTCTTTGTGACCGTTGTTATCACAGGTGGCAGATGGTCTTGTTTTGGAGAAGACCTCATCCCCATTAGGCGTACTCCTGATTGTTTTTGAGTCTCGACCTGATGCACTTGTACAGGTATGTGAAAGAGTCGATGTCCTTTTCTCTTCTTTGAATGTGAGTTTGCTGAAGCTGTGCTTTACTCACAAACCAAACAGATAGCTTCACTTGCCATCCGTAGTGGAAATGGTCTTCTATTGAAGGGTGGAAAAGAGGCTAGGAGATCAAATGCTATCTTACACAAGGTGATCACTGATGCAATTCCAGAGACTGTTGGTGGTAAACTCATTGGACTTGTGACTTCAAGGGAAGAGATTCCTGATTTGCTCAAGGTAAATGGATTTTACAAACTTGGAGCTGCTGCAACAAGTCTTTATATCTTTTGTTAAACTAAGTATTTGCATTTGGGCTACAGCTTGATGACGTTATTGATCTTGTGATCCCAAGAGGCAGCAACCAGCTTGTTTCCCAGATCAAAAATACTACAAAAATCCCTGTTCTAGGTCATGCAGGTACGGTTTCAACTTTGTTTTTTTTCATAGAATTCTTTAGTAGGATTGTGCTAGAGAAGTGATGCTGATTGAATTGTGTATTTCCAGATGGAATCTGTCATGTATACGTCGACAAGGCTTGTAATGTGGATATGGCTAAGCGCATAGTTTCTGATGCAAAGTTGGATTATCCAGCAGCTTGTAATGCCATGGTAAGAGAACTTCTACCTTCCCCCAATATTTCAGAAATGTAATGAGTTTTTTTAATTTCATCTTCTCTATTCCCTTGTCTTTTTTTTTTCAGGAAACCCTTCTTGTGCATAAGGATCTGGAGCAGAACGCTGTGCTCAATGAGCTTATATTTGCTCTGCAGAGCAATGGTAAGTCACAACACTATCGAGATGTCTCATATACCTTCAGTATAGATGACTCATGAGGTATATTAATCTGCAGGAGTCACTTTGTATGGTGGACCAAAGGCAAGTAAAATACTTAACTTACCAGAAGCACGGTCTTTCAATCATGAGTACTGCTCCAAGGCGTGCACTGTTGAAGTTGTAGAAGACGTTTACGGTGCTATAGATCACATTCACCGACATGGAAGGTAAAAAACTCGACACAACCAACACTAGTGGCTGTAATCTTTTGCTGGAAATGCTCACTCTTTATCTTGTCTTGTATGTTGTTGTGAGCAGTGCACACACAGACTGCATTGTGACAGAGGATCCCGAAGTTGCAGAGCTGTTCCTTCGCCAAGTAGACAGCGCTGCTGTGTTTCACAACGCAAGCACAAGATTCTCTGATGGTTTTCGATTTGGACTTGGTGCTGAGGTAAGCAACAGACATACACATAACCTTATATAATAAACGGATAAAAGGGAAGAGTAAGTGATGAAGTAAGTTTTGGTTTGGTATATAGGTGGGGATAAGCACAGGCAGGATCCATGCCCGTGGTCCAGTGGGAGTAGAGGGACTACTTACAACCAGATGGTACAGTTTGGTTTCATACTTTAACTAAATTTTGGTTTTGTGTAATGGTTTTGTAAGGAAGAATGGTTTTGTGGTTGCAGGATAATGAGAGGAAAAGGACAAGTTGTGGATGGAGACAATGGGATTACTTACACTCATCAAGACATTCCCATCCAAACTTAGAAGACTTTGTGTGAAGTCTTTCTGAGGAGACTAGGAGAGGATGGGCTTTTTGTTTCCTCTCTGCTAATATCATATCCTATTATTATTGTTGTTGAAACCCTCTCTATGAAGTGGTTTTGATTTAGGGATTAGTGATTGCACCAAAAATAAGTTCCTTTCTGTGTACCACTTGATCTTGCTCTTAAGTAAGATGAACATTTACTAGCTTTTGTCCAAAAAGATACTCGTTGTACCACACCTTTCTTATTTATCAATTTATCTTATTTGTTTGGATTTGCATTGTCAATCAGACCTTGATACAAAGTAGAATATGAACTTAAAACTCATTACCATAAATCCTTAAAAGGTTCTGCAAAACATTGAAAACATATGAATGCTAACAATGAACGCAAGAGTTTCTCAACTGCTTAGGAACCTTTCACTCTTCCATAAACTTCTTAACATTCTTCAACCACAACAAGTACTCTCTCTTCACTTTCCTCATCATGTACTGATGCAAAAAGTTCGTAGTGCTTGCTTTCACTCCTCTGATCTCCAAATACTTGTAGAACGTCTTCTTCAAATTCTCGTCCAAGCACCTGTAAGAAAGCAACAGAAACTTATGTATATATACCCTCACATACTTTTTGCTTTAAAGTTCCACAAAGCTTACTCAAAATCAGGCCCTTCATTAGCCAACTTATCCTCCAAAGTACTCCCCTGATTGCTCACAGACAAAGCATCAATAGCAATCTCATCCGGAAAAGCCATACAGCTAAACTCTAAGCTAAGCCCACTCTTCTTGGTTACAGTCACAACTAATGGAATACTTGACCCATTGCTATGACCATCCTCATCAT